TTCCATCTAACCTCGACATGCCCCAAATACCAAGTATCGGGGGTCCGTATGCCCCTATTTCAGGGTACACGGAGGGGCCTGGTAATTATTTGGGCCACTCACATTACCCACCTGAAATGGGTTTAGGGCTTGGGCTTGGGGTTTAGGGTCAAACTGTTGGTCCCCAGAAATGGGCTTGCGTAGCCAAGCTCTTCAAAGAACTCAGGAACACTTGACCCATAGTAGCAAAATTTCTCAGCATGCGGCAGAAAGTCCTGCCCGACCCAAAAAACCAAGACTCCAAAACATGGGGGTTTCCAAACAGACTAGGGGTCCATCTTTGGGCGTCTCAATAACTGGGAAATGGATCTGCAGGCTCTTTAACCCCTCAAAGTTTAGCTGTCATGCAGCACCGCAAGGCTATTCGAAAAGTGTTGTGAAGTCTGCAAATAAGACCTGAGGACCTCCTGCTTGAATTCATCCTAACACCGGTCCTTTCAGTGGGTTCCAAATTATTTTACTACGGCTCCCCCTATATGAACTTCGCTCACGTTGAAAACAGCTATTTCAGTGTTAGGGTCCTCAACGATACACCCCGAACATCCCGGAACCCTAAGCATGAAGCCTTCAAACTTAGCTCTTACACATTGCATCCAAAATGTTTAGTTAATTTCAAGCTAGGATCCCACTGAGGTCGACAAAGTACTTGGAGGGCGGGTTTAAATACAGATAGATAAGCCACATCTTATATCACGCCATCTATTCAGCTATCCCAGCCCCTCCAAGTAGGGTGAATGACGGGCTGTGGTGAAACGAATGCGAATAGGAATCTGCTTTTCATGCAAGTCAGAAACGTGCAAGCCATAGACACCCGACCGCCTAAAGCCAAGCCCTGAACGCTGAGTGAAAGCTACCAACCTTCCATCAAAGCATGCCCAAACCCTAGTCTAAGCCCTCAACCCTGAGCCCAAACCCAAGACCATCGGTGCACGTCTAGAAAGGACGCCTTTAATACGTTCTTCAGCGAAACTGGAGCCGGTAAGCACGTACCTCGCTGCGTCATGGTGGCCTGGCTTCCTTTTTCAGTATTCCACTTGTAGGATTTAAGCTACGAGCAGGGCGTTAAAAGCCTTAAACCCTGAACCCTAATTTAGGTTTCAGGGGGCTTCTTAGGGTTTGTTTCTTAGTGCCTGGCCTTTGAAATTCATAGGATCCTCTACCACCCTCACCGTAATACTCCCCACCTTCAAATAAGAGCTCCTCAAGAGCTACCTAGGGCTTGTGCAGGCCTTCTGCGGAGGTGCGGGTATGTTAAAATCCTACGAGATTTGTCTTGCTAGTGTGTGCGCACCCCGGTATCAAGGATCCCAGGGCTTTCACACGTAATTGCGTAACACACAATATGTGAGCTATAGTCCAAACAGCTTAAGGGGGGGTTGTGTTGGGGTTTATATAGAGGACGGTTACAAGGTTTTTAAGGGGGATGCTAGGAGTATAGACTATGGCTCATGTAGAGACTTAGGGTTTGGGGTCTAGGGCTTAGGCCAAGTGAAGACGGATGATCCGTCGCCTCCAGAAAGCAAATATGATCTCCCCGCACTACCCAGTGGGAAGATTTGCTACTCGGCACTGGCACCGACAAAATTGTCGAAGGAAACAAGAACGTGCATGTAGCCTAAAACCCTGGATCCCAAACCCTACGCCTTAAACCTATACCGGTAACTGGGTTTGCAGGGGATTTATAGTTTTACAGCCTCAAAGATTGTAACTGGTTGAAGACCTTTCCGGCACTGCCTTGGGATTATGTGGGCCGGTCCGCTACAAGGCCTTCAACATTCCTAGTATAGCCTGGCTATTGATGCGATGATTTTCTAAAAGCAACAAGAGGCATAATACCTAGACAGATACTTTCACAGGTAAACGCAACAAGCTACACGGTATATGTTTGGAGCATCTTATGAGAGTGAGGATGGAGTGTTGCGAGATTCCGTTCCTAGGGCAACTATCTTCCAGCCGCTGTAGAAGCCCAAGCCATTAGTGTGCTTACCCACTAGCCATCCACCCCACACAACATCACTCTAATTGTAAACGCTAGCGCG